TTGTTTATTTACTACCCCCCCCCTGAGTGTTTGACTAATCGACAGATTAGATCCCCAGGTGTCTGACTAATTGACTGACCACCTGAATGATTGTTCGACTTACTCCGACTGAGAACCTAAACGAATACCAGACTGGCTTACTATCTGACTATGTAGCTGAATATCTGACTGTATGATGACCTAAGTGTGTGACTGACGACCTGATCAAATGAGTGCCTGATGACTGAGGAATCAGCACACATTTTGTGTTTTGCCAGCTAAAACATATGCTTCATGTTTTATTATTGTTCTTACTGTTTCTTAGCAGAAATTTTCATCAGCAGTAGCTTTAACCGTAACGAATAACTACGTCTTTACATCTGACTACACCCTTCCTCCTGCTGCTCGCCCATCTCTTCGCTTTATTGATCAGAACAGTCAATGGGTGCAGTGAACGCTATATGTCTGTGACTCTGTTCTGAAGTTGAAACGTTCAAGTAGCTGCCTATAACGATTTGTATCTTTGCTCCTGAAAATTTAACAGTTTACGTAACAGTTTTGAACTGGCGGAATCAGGAGCCAGTTATGTCGATTATGACTACTTCTGCTGCCGCATAAGTTTTAGTAATTATTGTTTTGTTAGTACTGATGACTTAAATGTCGTTATTTCGTTACAGCGAAATGTTCTGACTGCAGACTTACTCAGTCAGTTTTGCCCTATCTTCTAACGATTTGCTTTGGCAACTTAAGTCTGTTATTCTTGTTGCGAGCGTTCGTTAGGAGGTTGTTTCTGGGTACATAAAAGGCTACCTTTCCTGTACAACTTCGACAAGAATGTGATGGAATGCTGTTTTGTTCTGATGCGTAATTACTATTCTTTGCTATGTTGAACGCGGTGTTTAACCGTTGGCATGTCGTACAATACCTGAGGATCAGTGGAATGACAATAGTTGACAAAACGACCAGGATGCGATTATTAAGAGTATTGCTCATAGAGATAGGTACGTAAAGTATGCAATTCTTGAGATCAAAGGTAGAAGCAGCGCATCACACAAAGGTCATAGTCTTTGAAATATTCTGCTCCTATGAATCTTTCTTGTCGTCTAAAAAAACATCCACAAATCACACTAGCAAAGCTGCTTGTTTCATAAGTCATGGTTGCAACCAAGTTTCCATAAGCTTAAAAAATTATACAGGCAACTGGAATTGACTTTCACTTCATCCGATTGGTTTCATGTTGACATTTGATGCCGTCATTTAAGTCACATGCATGCTTTAGTTTTTAAATTAGATTACACAAGTATCATCTGTTGTTTTTATTAAGGGACGTCAACACATTGTTTCGGAGCAGCAGCTTTACGACGAGGTGTGTGTTTGAACTGATGAAGTTAGTCGGCCAGCAGTACCTCATCGGAACATTGAAGCCTTGCATAGACAAAGTAAGCGTGCTTGTTGTTAGTTAAAAAAACCTCTGAAAGGAGTTAAGTTTATTGCTGCCAGGAGCATCGATTGATAGGTAATTAAGAACCGTTGATTCTAAACTACTTTGATAAAGATTGCTTGCACTTTCAAGATATTCGTGGAAAATAAGCCGTGCGAAGTTGATCCCGAAAAAATTGCCGAAGGCCAAAGTCTCGAAGAAAACACGGTAGATGCAGTGTTTTACTTGTCACCGGTGGTTGTTTGCGATTTTTAGCGAAACCTCATCATATACGCCGAAATGACGCTGTCGAGGATCGTCGATTCCAATCACAGGTGTCCACAACTACTTAAAGAGGTGTTCAAGATTCTGCGCGAAACCACTGCAAAGTTTTTCCCAAGTGAGACGTTGCTTCGCTGTTGAATATTTTGTTGTGGAAGAGTCGTTTAAAAAAATATGTAGTCTTCTCTAGTCATATCTTCAAAGATTGTTCCTTCTTTTGCTAAGACCCAGAATCTGTCGATACCAGACGCTTCAATGAAACATGGAAGGTGATTGAATGAAAAGGTTAATAATCAGAAAGTTCGAAGTAGTTTTACCGTCCGATATCCATGAAAATGTAATAGTAATATAAATAGTAAAAAATAGTATTATAATAAAAGTTTTTACGTATTACGTTCAGTAGATGTACGTGCGGTGGGGTTTCTAGCCGATTCACTGGCTCACATCGTTCTAGTGGCTATCAATAACGACTCTGAACCAGTGTATCAACTGCAGAGAACATAGAGAATAATCGAAGCAGCTAGGTATGCCACTCGGGTATGCGTAACATATAAAATTTATTACAATTGGAACTCATGAAAGGATTCCATTTTATCCACAAAAGTCCGATAATCGAAAAATCGTTCATTTCCGGGAAGAGCTCTGCTTCTGGGGGAACCATGGTTTGTCAGGACCGAAATACTCATTTTTGATGCGCGATGTCAATCCGATTCTGTCAGAATGTGGTTGAACCTGTCAGCTGTTGTGTATGCTGTCTCTATGAGTCGCGAGTTTAATCAATAAAATAGTTTTCTGTTTGCTGAAGTTGGAAGGTTCTGTTTGCTAATCTTGAAAAGACATAACCAACATCCAGCCCCATGTAATATAGAAAGGAAGTCAACTTTTTACGAGAATAGGAAAAATATATGGTTCAGGATGGCGTACCTTTCCTGGAGAACTTGCTGTTATTTTTAGCCAGTGATCGTCGAATTGCAAAGAGAACAGATTTTCTGCCTCTTTTTTGGACATGTTCTGCAACTGTCTGTAGGA